CAGCGCCATCGGCCGCCGCACTGAAGACGTACATCCGCACACAGTCGTATCGGTGATGAGCGTTTCTCTGTCTTCACAAAGATGGCGCCACTGTTTTGCCGCGTAATCTTTGTTTTTTTTTTCTTGTTTGTCGCCTTAGATCGCCGCGAGTCGTACATGCGTTACAGAAGAAGTGAGAGACCAGTACTGATCCCTTTATTCTTTATTCTTATATATTCCCGCTTTGCCTCAAGGCAATACAGCAGGGGAGTTACAGAGTTGAAAAAAAAAAACATTTTAACTGACACTGGACACTTGCACAGATGTCAAACAATTCCATTGGTTGATAGTATTTACAAAAAACGAATTTGCATACAGGTTCGTCCTGACCCAGCATGACGTTATTTTGTGTTCATGTTTCTGATCGGTTTCTAACTACGGCTTCACCATCTGTACTAACTACCTGGATTGCTTTCACACACACACACACACACAATATATATATATATATATATATATATATATATATATATATATATATATACATATTGTGCGTGTGTGTGTGTGTGCGCGTGTGTGTGTTGTGTGTGTGTGTGTGTGTGCGTGTGTGTGTGTACACTGTGTCAAACGCCTTAGTGAGATCTACGGCTATAATGCCTCGCACGGCCCGAGTGCCACTATCAAATATTTGCGTCCTCAGCACAAACATAACATACTGCGTTGATAGGCCGTGTCGAAAATCCACCATATTATGCGGGAAGAGTTCCTTACGCTCTATATAGCCGGAAACCTTCTTCAAGATCGCGTGCTCTGCTACCTTGCTCATGCACTAGGTTAGCAATATCGGTCTCATGTTGTCCAAACTAAGGGGTTTTCCAGGTTTTGGAATAAGCATAACCGTGGCTGCTTTCCATGCGTAAGCATGCACCTGTCCTTCCTCCCATACCCTGTTGACCTCCGTAGTTAGAAGTTCCACTGATTTATTGTACAAATGACGCAACTGTCTATTAGAAACCAGATCCGGCTCCGGAGCCGACCTGCTGCTTAGATAGTGCAGCGCATTCCTGATCCCTGATTCTGTGAATTAAGGGCGCATCCAGCTCCTCCACCGCCACGCACTCGATCTGTGAATAATCTTCGTCTTGTGTCGGCCCTATAGGGAGGTATCTATACACAACTGCATTCAAAAGGGACTCTTCATTACTGCCCTCCTGTTAGTGCTTGTGAATGGTCTTACTAGTCGATTGTCCTCGATTCCCCTTAGCCTGCGCGTCCCGCTGGAGATGCCTTAAGAGGTTACACTTCCCTCCTGTGCGCATGGACCTGTCTACTGCCGCGCATACCTCATCCCATTGTAGCCTATTAATCTCCGCGCAATATCTTTCTATCTATCGATTAAGTTCCGCAACCTTTTTCTCAGCCTGCGGTTCAACCGTTGTGTTTTCCATCTCGTCAGAATAGAGGATTTTGCTTGCAACAGGTGTGCTAGGTGTGGTTGCACGTGCGGGACGTCCGCTTCCGTTTTGACAACCGCAGTGGCTGAACCGCTGAACGAGGAATATGGGATCGTGCACTCCTTCCTGAGTGTCCTAAACTTATCCCAGTCCGTGACTCGAAATACTCTTGCCGGTCTGGCGTCAACCTGTAAAGTTACCGCAGCTATGAAGTGGTCACTGCCCAGGTTCTCCCGCTTATTGAGCCACGAGACGTTACCGACATTCCTTACACATGCTAAGTCGGGCATCGTGTCTCGAGCAACCGACGTGCCCAGCCTAGTGGGGAACCGTGGATCAGTGATAACGGTAAAGTTCTAGGAGAGAAATCAATTTAATTGCCTGTATTTTCACCTCCCTCGATAAAGTTCGCGGTCCCGGGATCTTGTGCATCCGGCATCCGCCGATAACCGCAATCGGTACACCCTCACTACACTTGCTTTGGCGTCACACAGCTCCAGTGACAAGCGTGTTATCACTCGTATCTAATCAGGCTCCGAACAGCACTTAAGATTTTGGTATGCAGCTTCCCCGCAGCGCAACACTTGGAAATACAGAGATAAAGCACTTCTTAATTGGTAACTAACGCTTTATCGGTTATTAAACTTGAGTAATTTAATCTTCCTGAGTTAAATCATTGGAAAAATAGTAACATTTTATTCTCCCACCATATGTCGTTATCACCAGGAAATTACATACACAATAGTCATCACCTGTCCCCTCTCTCTCGAGGTAGATATAGGCACGATATGAGGCGTTACGCCACTCAAGTCTGTATGTGCCTGCATACAATGTAATAACAAGCGAAAGACAAACATAACAATTGTCCCGTCGACCCTTTCGGTATCAATGGGCAATACGTTCGGTACACGTGTCCTCTTTGTTATAGCAATGATTCATACAACCCTCAGGCGGTTGCATATATCACGCGTTGATTAGGAATGCCTTGGTGGCATGCACAATGTGATAGCATTGATTGCTGGCAAAACGCATAGCAAGTCGCTGTTTCATTTCGAAAAGGGTTTTTTTCACGGTGCACAAGGCATAGCGTCCCAGTAAGTTGTGCTTCAATTTACATGATTATCAATGCTCCCACAAGACCTACAAATTTGAAGAGAGAGAAATAGAAGCAAACGTAAACGCAGAGTGGTTAACCTGGTGCAAGTAACTGGTTTGCTACCCTGCACAAGGGTGGACAAATGGGAACTGTAAAGAGGACATAGATAGATAGATAGATAGATAGATAGATAGATAGATAGATAGATAGATAAATAGATAGATAGATAGATAGATAGATAGATAGATAGATAGATAGATAGATAGATAGATAGATAGATGGTGTTTAACGTACCAAAACCACCATATGATTATAGAGACGCTGTAGTGGAGGGCTCCGGAAATTTCGACCACCTGCGGTTCTTTAACGTGCACCCAAATCTGAGCACACGGGCGTACAGCATTTTTGCCTCCATCGAAAATGCAGCCGCCGCAGCCGGTATTAAATCCCGTGAGTTGCGGGCCAGCAGCCGTGTACCTTAGCTCCTAGACCACTACGGCTGGGCGTAAAGAGGACAGAGAAAGAGAGAAATAAAATAAAAACGAACACCCCCCCCCCCCCCCACACAAACACACACACACACGTTCCAGTGCAGCGGAAAGCACACTTGTTCACAATATTGTAGAAGCATTTAAGCTCTAGATGGACCACTTTGTTGTACACAACTTCAGTGAGTCATACGGCTGTGGATACGGATAAGTTTTTCAGATCGCAGACGGGCATATTCCCAACATTCGTGGACGCGTGAAAGACCTCTGCAGGACCGCGTGAAATACCAATGGCACATTATTCATGGACGCGCAATGCGCCCAAAACACGCTTGACACTTCAAACTTAAATCTCGTTTTCGTCGAGTGAGAGCCTGTGTGTGTGTGTGTTTTTTTGTTTGGGGAATGACAATCTGTGTAAGACGTCGGCGCAGAAAGTGATAACACTGGAGTGTTTGCAAAGGGGTACCAAGTTTCGGTTGGTTTCCAGGATGCCAACTTTCCCAACGCTTGGTCTCTTTCTACAGTCACCTTCAGTATAGTTTCTGGAACATATAAGCGAAAGGCAATAGCGTCGAACTATCAGTGGCAACGTACTCGTCCCTATACAAACAAGTGGTCGCAGATAACACAGATCTATTCCTGTCTCCGGCGGACTCATGTTGCCAGCAAGCCAGTGCATTATCGCTTCTCGACAACGGAAAACTGCGAGCATGACCTATAGCGAGGTGGGCGTAACACCATTCACGTGTGTGCACGTTGGCTCACGGTCGCAGTTATCCGACTAGAGCGTGAACGTGTGAATGACTGACAAATGACCAGCATGTGAAAGCGACAAGTCCCGAGCAGGATTGCATTGCTTCCAGATGGTGGTTTCTGGGTCCCATTTTGGTAAAGCAGCGGGTCTTTGTTTTGAATGACCAATGGCGAGGCTCCATCGAGCTGATCTCTGTCTATATGTCATCTTTGATCCGCTAGGCACCCACCAGTGTATGGTGCTTGATTGCTGACGCGAAGGTGACGGATTCGAATACAGGTTGCAGCGGCCGCTCTTTCGATTGACGCAAAACCCTACAGACCCGTGCGCTTAACATTAGGTGCACGCTGAAAAACACCAAGTGGTCGAAATTTGCGGCGCCCTCCGCTAAAGTGTCTGTCTCTCGTATAGTCCTATGGTAGTGTTGGAACGAGAAATCTCAGTAATTGTTGCATAACTCGTCAAGCATTTACTTGTCGGTGTATGCTCGCCCATTCTTCTTCATCAGTTTTTTTTTTGCCGCAGTTGCGAAACCTTTAAGCTGACAATCGTAATATTAGAGAGAGTTCATGGGAGCACATGAATGTAACTGAATGCGAACGAACTCGCGTGAGTGTGCGTGAGTATTTGAGCACCTGTGGCTTCTCAAAAAGCAAAAAAAAGGAAAAGAAAAAGACTGCCACAAGGCTTTTCGAGAATGATGACCGCTGCAACTGACGCCGTTCGCAAGGAGTCCCCGAACACGTGCGAGCTCTCTCTCTCTATCTCTCTCTGTCCATCACACACACACACACACACACACACACGCACACACACACACACACACACACACACACACACACACACACACACACACACAACACACAACACACACACACACACACACACACACACACACACACACACACACACACACATCGAGTCTCGCAACTCTTCTACTAACGTGGTCGCTTCCATGCAGCGCTCCACGCGCCCGCGCCTCTGCGCCGAGCGAGCTATGGAAGGAGCCCCGGTTGTCCTTCCCGAAGTCACAGCCGTCGCTGCTTGCCAACGCCGTTATCACTGTCCGACGACGCGACGAGTACACACACTTACACACACACACGTTATAGGCTTGAAACGCGCCCGCTTCGAGGGCAGCGCTCGAGGCCCGTTATCAGATAAGAGTGCGGGGGAAAGAGCTCGCTCGCTGCCCCCCTCCACGTTTCGAGCCACGCTGGCAAAGTCTCTCGGCGCGATGCCCCCCGGTCGCCCGCCGCCGTCGACTCCCCGAACTCTGCTGCCTTCGGTGTGCCGCTGCTCGGAGGCCTCAGGAAGAAGACTCGGTGGTGGACGTCCTCTTTGCCATCGCTGGTGGGATTCTAGCGTCGTGGCGGAGGGAAGCACCTTCCCGTTTTCCCTATCTCGTTCAACGACCTCCGCCTGTCGTTGTTGTCGTCGACACCTGCTGTCCCTGCTATCTCCGTCGCTACCGGCGCGGAGGCGGTGGCAGTCTGGAGCGGCTGCAAGGGAGGAACTATGAAAGTGATCTACCTTAGGTAAGCCCTAAGCGTTGTTCGCGGCCCAACCTCGTGTGATTCTTACTCAGCCCCGCTGCGGTGAATAAGAGAGACACGTTCCGCACGAGGTTCTGGGTTAGAGTCCCAACGAGTGTGAGTTCGATGGCCTAGATTGCCGGGAAGAAAGGAAATATGAGAGTGATCTACCCCGGGTGAGCTCGTGCGTTCGTGTCCCTGGCATCGCTCAGTCTATACGGTACAATTGCGTGAACTGAACGGTCACACGGTGTTCAGTTGGAGGTTGCGTGTTGTTCAATTGCAGAAGGGCCACAATTCGATAACCGCGATAACGGTCTGGCTTCAGGAACCACGTGGTAAAAAATTGATCCGGACTACCGTTTTTTACTCGGCACGTAACTTGCGTGCTGAGAAAATTATGCTCTCGATTCAGAGTACTCTTTACTCTTATGCGGTAGAGAAGCATGCGGTTATCCATAAAAAGGACGTCTGCGGATTTTCTCAAGCTGTTATGCAGTTGATAGGATAGTGAACGCTTTACAAGATTTACAACCTTTATCAACCTGCAGATACGCACGACCAATTAGGACTCACAAGTTCTGCGAGAGGGTACCGGTTCGCTGATGTCAGCAGGCCCCGCATTCTAATGGTGGTCGAAAGCGCTCCGTCACGCTGGATGACACATAAGAACCCCTAAAGGTCAAAACTGACCCGGAGGCCTCCACTGCTAACATCGAATACTGTGTACAGCATGGAGGGACATCCACTTGTGTACTCAGCCTACAGACGTGCACTTGTGCGTCGTCGAGTCGCAATGCAGGACGATATAACATCTCCTGAAAATCACCGTTAACAACTGCATTATACGAGACTGCGATGGGCGAAGCCATCATGTGAAAACAGGGGATGCGAGCTTGAAAATGTCGATGTATAAAGTCGTATGTAAGCGGCGCAGAGATGAGTCAGCGTGTTTTTCAGGTGTGGCCTTGTGACGGAGACCTTGCATCAAGAAACGGAAACCTCGTTATCCTGCCTATCTTTCCGGCACGTCGCAACGACTGTCCGAAAGGCCAGAAGGAAAAAAAACAATAACAACGTCCTAGATAAACACGATAGATGGTCGAAGTGCAGCATGGCTGGCATGACATCTAGAATAAACGCTGTTGACCATAACATGGAAGTACGCCTCTCTTCTTAATGTCTTCTTTCACCTATACTCTACTAAAGTGAGCAAAGGCAAAACTGACTTAACCTAGCCTAGCCTATATTCTCGGCTAACCTCACCAAACTGGACCACGTATAGCAGCATGTCATTGGGCATTAAACCTTCTGGTTTATCTTTTGAAATGAAATGTTTTCTACCACCACCAGAACAATCAAAGGGCATGATGACGTCACTAAGCAATTCGTTCCTTGAAGATCGCTGCGCAGAGAACGTATAGTTAGCGTGTTCCCCCCAGAGCTAAAATGAAAAGACAAGAAAAAGACGTTCCAATTTTCGCGTTCATCCAGGACTTGTTCACGGAAGTTTGCGCATCTGTGATAACAGACACGCGGAACATAGAGACCCCGTGCAAACGCTCGCTCGCTGCGTGGGCTTATCGGGGAGCCATCGCCGACGTGTTGCCGACGCCATACAACTCTAGTAGAGATAGCACGTATCGCCTGGAGGGGCGATTATCGCCGGAAAAGCTTATGACCCGTAAATAGCAAAACACAAACAATGGGCCCCGCATGTATGGGATTGCCGCTAAGTAGCGAAGATAATTTGGCTCGACCACCAACATGTCCCGAAAAACAGCACGGCCTCTACATCTCCGGCACGCAGTGTCTTCGGTTCATATATGGAGTTTTATGAAACAAGGTTTTCAAATTGAGGTTGTTCGTGAAGATGTATTTAGATAATATACTCCTTAACATTACCTAATGATTAAGACCCGTATTCACAAACCAACCTCAACCTTTCTTTCCTCGAGTTTTTCTTATCGGTTTTAAACGTTTGATGTGCATGATAAACAAATTGCACCAGTATTCATAAACCAGTCTTGTCCTTATCTTTTGTTTTGTGCCTTCATAACGCATGTAGAGGGTACAGGAAGTTGAGGAAAACGTGAGGTAAGGCCGAGGTTGATATGTGAATACGGGCCTCAGGGGTTCACTTTTAACATGTTCTCATTAACACTCTCTTTAATGATTATTTGCTCGGGTTTCACATCCAAACATCATGATATGAATAAGAGGCACGCCGCAGCGAATGGCTCGGAGAATTTCGACAATTTGATGTTTTTACACCTAAATCTAGATACATGGTACTCGAGAATGTTTCCTGCATCTAAACGCGCCGCTGCTGCAGGAATTCAACCCCGCGACCTGTTTCCCCTTCAGTTACGTAGTTCTGTCAATGCCACCTCAAAAAGAAAACTTTCCTAACCGTTACGGACACCTGATACGCGTTTATTACCATTAGTACAGTCAAGCTCTACCCCGTTCTTGTTGCACGTGTTTCGTTGCGAAACACGTGCAACTCTACGTGTAGCCTGTGCTGCACCCGTTTCTCAACCTTGATTGGATCGTACACGCAAAGTTTTATAAGCTGCGTTGCTTTGCGTATTGAGCCTGGTATACACCGCCGTACATTCATATCTAGTTCGTGCAATGCTATTGATTGTTCTCCTCTCTATGTTTGTCTGCCTCCTTCTCGCTCTCTGAATAGCCGTACGAATGTTGAAGGAATCTTTCTCCATCACGCTATACTAGTCATGTCCGGATCCCGGCGCTCGGCTGCCCACCTGAAAGTCATGGGTTTCGATCCCAGCCACGGCGGTCGCACTTCGACGGAAGTGAAAGGCTTAAGTAAACGCTAGAATCCCGTGTATACTGTGCGGCCGCGGCAAGTTTTCTTTTCGTCCACTTTTCTATCTTTCAAATTCACATTACAATTACTTCTAATAACATCTCCTATACTTTCCTGCAAGCATTAATGTCTGTTAGTTCTCACAAATATTGTCCCTAACAAAGAGAAACGGGCCATTAACTTTACACTTTCATTTCATAGCGAGGGCCTCGTTCTGACAGACTTGATGCCTTGTAGAGGTGTGGGAGGGTTCACTGGTCAGATGCCATGTAGTAATAAGATCGCGTACTCTATACGTGACGCCAGAACAGGCAAAATAAAGTTCCACACTTGTCGCCATGGCAACAGGTGGCGCTGACCTACGCTCCCACGTTTAAAACACATGTATACCCCATAAAGTGGACAGGGGGATAGCTGCCGTGGTAGCTCAGTGGAGAGTATCGAAAGCGTTATTCGAAGGTCGCAGGCTCAGTCCTTGCCAAGGCAAGCTATTTTTTCGTCCACGCTTATTTATTCTAATTTACATTGCACTCACTTCGAACATCATTCCCTATACTTTCCCTGGCATTACTGTCCGTTAGTTCTAATACAAGGCACGTTAAAGAACACCGGATGGTCATAATTTCCGGAGCCCTCCACTACAGCGCCTCTGATCATATGGTGGTTTTGGGACGTCAAACCCCATAATCATATCGTGGTTTTGGAACGTAAAACCTTCATTTTATTGTTATTCATCATTTTTTAGTTTATATGTTTTGGCCCCACCGCGGTGGTCTTGTGGCTAAGGTATACGCTGACCCGCAGGTCGCGGGATCAAATCCCGTAGCGGCGGCTGCATTTTAGATGGAGGCGAAAATGATGTAGGCCCGTGTGCTCAGATTTGGGTGCACGTTAAAGAACACCAGGTGGTCGAAATTTCCGGAGCCTTTTACTACGGCGCCTTTCATAATCATAAGGTGGTTTTGGAATGTTAAACCCCACATATGTATCAGCTTATATGTTTTGATCTATCATACGCTACTGAAGCGATTCTTTGACGAAACAACCTCGCGAAACGTAACACGCGGTAATCGGCGGGCCACTTTTCCGGTTGATAGACGCCATATCGCCTCGACTACGGTTATATCAGTGCGGGACTATTATCCGCCGCAGCTATCGCTATCCATGTGTGTATACGCTATACTAACGGAGATTAGAATATGGGTGCCGGGCTTGAATTCCTCTGATTAGATATCCCAGTCAGCAGCTTGCAGATAAATTGGCGCTATCTGGGACTGACGTCGCTTATCTATTCTCTGTATGCCCGGGGCAGGAAGGTGGGTTGACGTACTGATATGCTTGCAGATTAGGTGATATTACCGGTATTTCAGGGTAGAGATATGGCTGAACTTTTGCTTTTCGTCTACTTTAGTAACCTTGCACAGCGCGTAACTCTGTAGTCCGCTGCGCTGCTGATTGATTGATTGATTGACATGTAGGGTTTAACTTTCCAAAACCACCATATGAATATGAGAGAAGCCGTAGTGGATGACTCCGGATATTTCGACCACTTGGGGTTCTTTAACGTGCACCCAAATCTGAGCACACGGGCCTACAACATTTCCGCCTCCATCGGAAATGCAGCCGCCGCAGCCGGGATTTGATTCCGCGACCTGCGGGTCAGCGGCCGAGTACCTTAGCCACTAGACCACCACGGCGGGGCATCCGCTGCGCTGCAGCAGCACAGAATTTGAAACAAGCAATAAAGAAACTTAGGCATAATAGCACCAGTGTTAGCTGTGATGTCGAGAACCAGGATTGCTTTAAAAACAACAACAACAACAACAACAACAACAACAACAACAACAACAACAACAACAACAACAACAACAACAACAACAACAACCACAACAACCACAACAACATTATTAATAATAATAATAACATCATGATTCAGATGCGCATCTTTTTAACCATGCACCTACACTGAACAGATAATTGAGAGAACAATGACCGGGAATTGACATATGCAATAGCCCAGTTTCATGATTTATTTTGCCCATGCACAGCATTAATCTATCTATCTATCTATCTATCTATCTATCTATCTATCTATCTATCTATCTATCTATCTATCTATCTATCTATCTATCTATCTATCTATCTATCTATCTATCTATCTATCTAT